ACATATACTAATGTTGAGCCTACCATTGTCTCCCCAAAAATACTACTTCTCTTTCCTCTCAGGGAAGGGGCTGCCACCACTTTAGAGTAGACCCTAAAATGGTTTAAGACTCTTGCACTGTTGTTGTGACTAGGTGCTGTCCGGTTGCTGTTAGAATTTATAGCCACCGTAAGCACAACAGAACCAAACACTGCCCAGTCCTGCTCCATCCTTACAATTGTTAGGTTTGAGCCCACTGTGCCAATCTCATTGGGGGTCTTCCTCTTTTTCACTGACCCTCCACGTTAGCAAGCATGATGTCCTTCTCCAGGGATTAGTCTCTCCTGATAATATGCCCAAAGTATGACAGACTAAGTGTCACCATCCTGGTTTCTAAGGAGCATTCTGGCTGTACTTCTTCCAATTCAGATTTGTTGTTATTCTAGCAGTCCATGGTACTTTTGATATTCTTCTTCAACAACATAATTCAAATGCATCAATTCTTCCTTATTCATTGTCCAACTTTCACATGCATATGAGGTGACTGAAAATACCATGGAGCACCTTAGTCCTCAAACTGGTATCTTTGCTCTTTTACAACTTTACAGAGGTCTTATGCAGATTTGCCTAATGCAATACAACCTCTCTTGATTTCCTGACTGCTGCTTCCATGAGTGTTGATTATAGATCCAGGCAAAAATCTTTGATAGCTTCAATCTTTTCTCCATTTATCATGATGTTAATTTATTGGTTCAGTGGTGAGGATTTCACTTCCACTGTTGTTGTTGCTAAGTGCCTTTGAGTTGGTTTTGATCAGTGACCCTGTATAGGGTTTCTGAGGAGTAGCTGAACCACCGATCTTGTCCAGTGCTTATCATACAGCATCACACCAGGGCTCCTCACTTCCTAGCTGATGGTATTTCCCACATCCAAACGCTACTCGTTCTTCAAGGTCTAGCCCAGATAGTACCTCCTCTAGGAAGTCTTCCCTGATACACCTCCCTCAGAATGAAATTGTCTCCCCAACTGTCAGACAGTACTTCCCATCTGTCTATTTCTTTTCTTGTTTCATATAATTTCTAGTGAGAGATACAACTAGCATCAAAATCACCTGTGGGACACTGACAGGGAATAGGCATTAACATTTAACGTATTTGCTGAACGAATGATGCTTTTTAAAAGCAGAGAAGTCTGTGAGCTGGTGGAACCAGCTGGTGGTGCTCTAGGAGAAGCATTGGACTGCAAGGTTGGTTTGAACCTCAAGGTCTTCGGTTCAAACTCACCAGCGATTCCTTGGAAACCCTATATAGGGTGGCTATGAGTCCGAATCGATGGCACTTAAACAACTTTCATTGGCATAGCCTTCATCTAGATTGTTGTTAAGTGCCATTGAGTCAGTTCTCATCTAGGTTCAGGGTGGAGAACGTCCAGCCTGAAAAATCATTTGAGGTCAGCTGTTTATCCTAAATGCTTGATCAAATAGCTAATTTTTTTTAAGTTGTTAATTTTGTATTGCCCATGAGTGATGTTATAAATTTTGGCAGAAAAGAGCTTCCCAACCCCTGATCTAGATAGTGGGCAGACTAAGGGACAGTCTTTGGGGAGCTCTTGATTCAAAGTGAGAAGTTGAGGTAAGGGCAAAAGCAGGGTCATAGCCAAACTTTCAATAAGAAAATATGGGGATTGTTGTTGTTGTTACGTGCTGTGGAGTTGGTTCCGACTCATAGAGACTCTGTACAGGGTTTCCAGGCTGTAAATCTTTATGGGAGCAGAAAGCCTCATCTTTCTCCCGTGGAACAGCTGGTAGTTTCGAACTGCTGACCTTGAGGTTTGCAGCCCGATTCGTATGGGGGTTAGGGGCATAACAATTAAAAATGTCAAGAGTGATGGATAGAGTGATGTTACACAATAGTGTTGGGATATTGAGATTCTGGGCCCTAATCCTAGCTTTGTCTCTTGACTCATATCTCTTTCCTTCACTGGTCCCAGTTTTTCTGGTGTAAATGGGGTTGCTGGGTCTCTGGACGAACAATCTGATTAGCTCTAAACCCCTCTGATCCTTCTCCTGCAAATCCCTGCCTCCCCTAGTCATTTGACACACCTGTTTCTCCAACATCTTTCTTAGGGAGCTCCTACATTTCATTTCACACTGGTAATTTTTGCTTCTGAGTCTTGTAAGGTGTGTCTCTACTAGTTCCCAAAGGAAAACCCCCAGGTGCTTTTCTGTCTGATTGAAGTAAACACCACTCTGGACCAGTTACCCAATCTGTAAACTGGGAACATGCTCTAGAGGTTAATTATATACAGAACATCTGGGGCTTGCACAGATACACAAATACGCTGAAAGTTCTTGGTATAATACTATAGCATTACAATAATTCTGGCTTATAAATTATACCCCCGGCAGAGGCATCACATGGGAAAGTGGGTCTGACCCTATGGCCAGCTGCAAGTGAAATGGAAAAATGTGGTGAACTATAACTGCTCTTTCTAAGCGTTTAGAAAAGGCAGAGGCAACTCTTTCATGTGCAACCTACATGTGGAGAATAGGCTTCCAATTCCTGGGTAGGTCTTTCTTGTCCAGGTGATCTGGCAGGTAGCCAGGATCTAGCTGCTCTACCTTCATGAGACTGGAAGCAGAGACCAAAAGGGAGGGAGCAGAAGAGGATTTGTGGTTGTTGGAAAGGTGGGGCCTACAATGAAGATGTCCTTGCTTTTCAGGTTTTCTATTTGGGCCTTCTTCCTGTGAGGATAATTAAGTGCTTACATAGCAGAAGGATGACTTAAGAGTAATTTGAGATTATTTAAGTATAAGGATACTCAAAAGAAATATCTAAACCCAGGTCAACATCTTGTCCTTCCACACACCCCTCCCCCTACCCCACCCCAGACACATGAAACATATATACACACAGACACACAGAGATAAAGCACATTTTAGATAGTTTCTTGTGAATGAGAAATAAGTAGATCTCAGGCAGGCTATGTGGTTGTAATGGTGTCACATAGCAGGTTTGGAAATTTTAATTGCCCCATACAGGGTGGCAGTACTGTCTGACTGAAGGGGGAACAGGCAAATGGCTTGACCCTGAAGGGGCCAGTCAGGTCATAGTCAATCCTACCGCATCGTGCGTGTGGCTGAGTGATCTGTGTACCAGCTTCAGAGTAAGACCCAAGTGGGAGCCCAGGTTCTGACATTTTCACACTGTAAACTCAGACATTAATTAGTCTTGGCGGGTCCAAGTGGAAAAGGCAACAGTTCAGTGTTCAAAAGTCTCGGGCTGAGAGCTGACCTCCAGCTCTAGCATGGCCAAGGCTGTGTCCTGGCCAGCAGGCTCACTGGCCTTGCTGCCTGCCCTAACAGAATGGGAAAAATGGATTCTACTCTCCAAGAGTCCAGGTGACACACATAATATACAGGCAGCAAATGAACTATCATTTGAATGATTTGGGCTATCATTTTAATAAATTGACATTCATATAGAAAGTTTTAGCTCTAAGATACTGGTACTTCAGGTAAGCACTATTCTGGCAAACCCGCTTACCCACTCAAATTCAACCAAGCCCAAGTAGCAGTTACCTCATTTCCAGGCAGTTCTTTTCGGGAACATACTGTCTCTCAGCTCTATGTCTCTTCTTCTGCCTCTGATCCATTGACAATAAACAAGGAAGATCAGAGAAGAACTGATGCATTTGAGTTATGGTGCTGTTGAAGAACACTTACTGTATCATGGATTTCCCGATAAACAAATCTGTTCTGGAAGCAGTAAAGGTGGGATGCTCCTTAGAAGCAAGGATGGTAAGACTTCATCACATGTGCTTTGGACATGGTAGTTTGGACAAGTTGTCAGAAGGAACCAATCCCTGTCCAAGGACTGGTAAAGTAGAGGGGTCATCAAAAAAAGAAGGTGGCCTTCAATGAGATGGACACAGTGGGCTCAAATAAAGGAACAATTGTGAGGATGGTGCAGAAACTAGCAGTGTTGCATTCTGTTGTACATAGGCTGGTTATGAGTCAGAACAGACTCCATGGCAACTAACTACGACTTCTGCCTCAGTTTCTTCATTTTTAATAAAGAATGATCTGAAGTTGCAAAGACTGCTGGAAACGACATCATTACATGACTAGACTAAGGGACTGGTATCTGGACCCCCGTGTGGCCTTCTTCTCAGCTTCAGTTTCTTCATCTGTAAAATGAGGGCCCTGAATTAAATGAAGTCTTGCTAGTTCTCACAACCTTAGGCATTAAACCTCCCACAGCTCAATACTCCCAAGTTGGCAGTGAACAGGGTTAAAGCCACGACTTTCTCAGAGGTGAAAAGGTAAGCACACATTCCGACCTCCCCTTTGCCAGGCCCTTGGATTGGTACAGGGCCGGGTCCCCGCAGCCTATGCGAGTCGCATCCGTCATCTGCTATGCTAATGTATTCATTAGCATAAAGATTTCTCCGAAGACCTGGCTCGCGGGGAACGAACCGGAGTCTCAGTCCCTTTAAAGAGAAGAGGATAGACACAACGTCCCTAACGCTATCCGGCACCACCTTTCCTCCGTGAAGGCCTAGCTATAAACTGCGAAAATGTTCCGTGTTAACCTACCCCCCACCCCCAACAGTGAGGATCCCTGGAGTGCTTGGCGCGCGGGTCTCGGGCGACAACCCGCGGGCTTGGCCTCAGCGCGCTGCAGGCTCACCTGGCAAGCTCTCATCAGAGGCGGGTAGCTGGCCCGCCGCGCAGTGGGTCCCCGACGCCCTCAGGGACGACCTGCGGGTTGGCGCCGCGGCGGCCGCGGGGGGTGGCGCGTGTAGAGGAAGAGGGGCGCGCCCACCAGCCAACGCGTGCCGCCCCCTCCTAAGACCGGGCGCAAGGGGGCGGGGTTTGGTCGGAGGCTGGGCAGCACTTCTCCTGGGGTGGGCGGGGCGGCCACGGTGGGGGCGGATCCGGGGGCGGAGCGCGCACGGGCCCGGGGAGGGTGGGGCCTCAGCGCGGGGCGGCTCTGGCGGCCAGAGTGTCACACACGCGGCGGCTCGGGAGGCAGCGGTAGCTGCAGCGGCAGGCGCCGCCGGGACGGGCGCGGGCTCCGGCGGGCTCCGGCTTCCTCCGTGTGTTCTCCTACCTGCCTGCTCGCCGCCTGTGAGGTCGGGCTCACCCCAGCGTTGTCGGGAAGGAAGAGGGGGACTGCGAACGCCGACAAGTTCCCGCAGGAGCCTCAGAACCCGGCGGAGACAGATCCCGCGGCTCCAACGGGACAGGAGTGCGCTCCACGGCGGGGCACACGGCCAGAGCGTTCGCGGCGGGGAGCACCCGGGCCTCCCGCTCTCGGCGGGGCGGGACTCCATGAGACGGGCCCGCGAGGGGCGCGAGATCCAGAACCCGGGCGGCGCGCGGCGGAGGCGGAGGGCGGCGCTGCAGCTGCCGGAGCCTGGGAGCTACCGGCAGGAGGCGGCGGCGAGAACTTGAACTTGGAGTCGGGAACGGGCGCCCCGGACGCCCCCCGCCGGGGCCGGGGCGCCGAGGGGCCTGGGCGACTGCGCTGCCCCCCGAATGGCCGCGGCGGCGGACCAAGTTCCCGCGCCGCGGCCCTAGGTGGCCTCTCGCCATGGCCAAGTGGCTGAATAAGTACTTCAGCTTGGGAAACAGCAAGACCAAGAGCCCTCCACAGCCGCCGCGACCCGACTACAGAGAGCAGCGGCGCCGGGGCGAACGGCCTACGCAGCCCCCCCAGGCAGTGCCGCAGGCCCCCGCGGCCGCCTCGGCGTCCTGCGGCCCGACTACTGCCTCCTGCTTCGCAGCCTCGTCGGGCTCCCTGCCCGACGACAGCGGCAGCACGAGCGACCTCATCCGCGCCTACCGCGCGCAGAAGGAGCGTGACTTTGAGGACCCCTACAACGGGCCCGGCTCGTCCCTGCGCAAACTGCGCGCCATGTGCCGCCTGGACTACTGCGGCGGAGGTGGGGATCCGGGCGGGAGCCAGCGCGCCTACTCGGCCTCGTCCGCGTCGGGAGCCGCTGGCTGCTGTTGTGCTTCCTCGGGCGCGGGCGCCGCCGCGTCCTCCTCCTCCGGCTCCCCGCACCTCTACCGCAGCAGCGAGCGACGGCCAGCCACGCCGGCGGAGGTGCGCTACATATCCCCCAAGCACCGTCTAATTAAGGTGGAGAGCGCCGCGGGCGGGGGCGCCGGGGACCCTACGGGGGGCGCCTGCTCTGGCGGCCGCACCTGGAGCCCGACGACCTGCGGAAGCAAGAAACTGCTCAACAAGTGTGCACTTTCCACTGCGGAGGAGAGTGGGGCTGGCAAGAAGGAAAAGGTAAGGAGTCCCTTGCCCTCACCCCCGAGATTCCAGGGCCACTCTGCGCTTGGGGAAACAGAGGCAGCGCTCTGCTTCCAACTCCCTTTTATCAACTTCGGTCAGGACTCCTACACTGCTTCCCAATCTTGCTTCTTCCCACGCTCTCTTCCCGGATTGTCGGCCTCCTGACACCATCCTGTTTCGCTGCTGCTCCTAGAACGTCTTGTTTCAGAGCCCAGAGGCTGGTGCGTGCTTCCCAAGTCCGAGTGAGAGCGCCCCGCCCAGCCTTGCCCTTCCGGCCCTGGAGGAGTAAAGTCTTGGGGAATCAGAGGTGTCACAGACTTTAAAAGAGCATTTATTTTTGTCTCCCTCTCCCACACTCTATCGATGGGAAACTGAGGGCCAGAGTTCGAAGGTACTCTCCCGAAATTACACCGAGTTCTAGGTGGCAGATCCGGATCGGCTGCCCCTAAACGTGTATATGTAAATCTCTCTAAATGTCCTGCCTCTCCCCACTCCACCTACCCACCCCACCCCCCGCGCTAGATTTCCAAATCTGGGCGGCCTTTTGTGCTGGCGCTGCACCGGGAACCTCTACGTGTGCTTTTCCGGTTGGAACGGCGCTGCTTCGGAGAGCGCGCAGCATCGCCCTGTTGGGTGATTGCCTCGCAGATCCCGAGGGGGTCCACTGGAAGGAGACCCAGCGCCCCTCCGGACCTTCCTTCCCCACCCCCAATCGCACTCCATAGTGCCCCAGAGATGGGGGGGTTGCTTTGTGAAAGTCCCCCTCTCTAACACCTTTACCTCTCTCCAAAGCTGACCAGTTAATTACAGCCAGACTCGACCCTCTCCTGCCCCTCCCTTCCTTCACACTCCCATGACACCCCCATAATATAATTTTCGTTTTTTCTACTTCTAGTGGAGGGCTGTGTTTTGATTAAATCTGGGCCCAGAAAGAGCCTTGGCCAGCGCTGGCTCCCCTTCTTGCTCGGCCCCTCCTCCTTCACGCTCTTCTTTCCAAAGGTTTGCCCAGGCCTGGGTTGGGGCAGACTGATAGAGAAGTCTGAGTTCCTTTCAGGCCTAGGTGTACAGACAGGAGGGAGACAGGTTCCTACCTGCCAGCTGGTGCTTACAGAGGGATCTTTTTGTTTTACAGAAGACAGTAAGGGGATGTCCGTCCCTTCTTGTAATTTTTTTCTGTCTGCCCTCCTTTCTCCCAGGTCCTGTGACTATCCCCTTGTGGGTAGCATGGAAGATCCCACCTCTCTGTGGGCCCAGTTTAGGGACATACTCAAAAGTATGGACTCAACTCCCCAGGCTCTCAGGTTGCCACACCTACATGACAGGGAGCTGGGAGCCAGGTGACCAGCCCAGGAGCTGCCTTTCAGGAGGGGGTGATTTGTCAGGGAGCCAACAAGCTTGTAGCTGGTTTGTGAGGGAAACATAAAAAGGCTCCCTGATGTTTTATGTGTGCCACAAGCTTGGGAGAACCTGAAGCTCTTGGAAATGGAAGCAGGAGAAAGGCCCTACAACTCTTCTTCCACCAAACCCCTACTTAAACAGCCAACTGCTCTAAAGTCCCTGCACCACACTACCCCCTTCAGCCTTGTTGCTCCACAACCACCTCCCAGGTGGGTAGACCTCCTTCCTCTTCTCCCTGCTCATGGTTCTGCTTGGATCTTGAGAATTTCCATACAGAGGAAGGGGAGGTTGCATGTGTGCATGTGTGTGTGGTTATATACTTAGGGGCCTCGAAAAGTTCCAAATGGAACTGAATGATAATGGAATTGCCCCAAAAACTTAAAAAAAACTGTGTTCTTGGATACTTGTTGATTAGTGTCGTTGCGTTGGTTCCGGCTCATAGCCACCCTGTATAGGGCTTCCAAGGAGTGACTGGTGAATTTGAACTGCCACCCTTGCAGTTCAAACGGACCTGGCAATCCAGTGCTTTTATCATACTGCGCCACACCAGGGCTCCTTCAAAGCTAGAACTACCCTATTGTGGGTCTTACTTGGGATTGGGGATGGGAGATGACACGGGGTAGGCTGGAACCTGCATTTGGCCTCCACAACTGGATTGAAGTTGAAGTGGAGTGTTCTGTGCTATGGTTGAGGAGTCTTCCAGAATATAAACCACTACCAAAATCTGGGCGAGGTTGAGTCGGAGCTGGGGATCAAGGGTTGGGAAGAGCAAACAAAACTGTGTAAGGTAGAAATAGTATTCCTTGAATTGGTGCTTTATAAAAAAAATAAAGACCATGGAGGCCAGTTACTTGGTAGGTTTCCTTTTGGCAGTCAAACAGGTCTTATCAAGTTGTGTTCTCTCTTGAAGTCTTGTTTCTTTTATCATCATTAAGTAAATGTCGTTTCCACCACAACTGAGAGAAGTCATTTATCATGACATCAGTTTCCTGAGTTCTGAGTACATGCTAATGTTTATCAACACTTTGTATTTTGTCAGCACCCACTGAGTGGAGTTAAATAACACATCTCCCATAGTTAAGGAATAAATAATATCTTTTTTTTTAAAACGTTCAGCAGTTTCTGAGCTGCCTGCTTCTGTTTTTATGGTTGTTGTTGTTGTGAAGTGCTGTCGAGTCGATTCCGACCCATAGCGACCCTTGAAGAGCAGCTGGTAAGCTTGAACCACTGACCTTGCAGTTCAAACGGCTTTGCAGTCTGGCGCATTAACCCACATGTGTTAAGTGCCATCAAGTCAGTTCCAGCTCTTAGCGACCCTGTATAGGGTTTCTGAGGAGCAGCTGGTGGGTTTGAACTACCAGCCTTGCAGTTAGAATTCCAGTGCTTATCCTAAAGCGCAGTCGAAAATCCGAGAGTTATAAGTGGTGGCCAGTGTTCCAAGAATGATGCTTCTCAGCTTGCAGTTGAATACTAGCTTTTCAAGGTGTAGTAGAGGAGATGGAGACAACTAAGGGACAACACAACCTGATGCCAGCCCAGAATACATATAAAGGCGGGGTGACCGCAGCTCGGTAAACCCAGGAGGGCTTTGGCAGGAAGGCTCCATTTGAGCTGATTCTGGAAAGATGAGTGGGAAATCTCCAGACTGGAAGGAAGGAGAGCTATCCAAGCAGAAGCCTTGTGGCTGAGGGAACAGGGTCTTGGGAGCAGCAGGGTCGGTATGGTGGGAGATAGCAGGGGAACCTGGAGCCCAAGAAGGAAGGAAAGTATCTCCTGTACCTTGGTGGAGAGTTGTGTCTTGTCTTTTTTGGTTCTTTTCATATAAAATCATTGATGTCAGGCTTGGTTGAAGCCAGATTCAAGCAAGTTTCAGTCATTTTTGCATGATTAAGAGCTACATTTGCCAATTGGTAAACCGTAAGTGAAGGAGTTCTGGTAGCGTACTGGTTACAAGCTGGGCTGTTAACCTCAAGGTCAGCAGTTCAAAACTACCAGCTTTTCCACAGGAAAAGATGAGGCTTTCTGCTCCCATAAAGATTTACAGCTTTAGAAACCCTATACAGGGTTGCTATGCGTTGGAACCGACTCCACGGCACACTACCACCACCACCAAACCCTATGTAGTGGGAAAGGTTAGAGGCAATCTTGGTAGCAATAGGTTGGCCTGGGCCACTTTCCTTTTTGAAATCCTGCCTTTTGAAAGTAATTTGAGGGAAATAAACAACAACAAAAAAACCCCCAAACAATCCAAACCTGTTACAGTTGAGTCGATTCTGACTCACAGCAACCCTATATAGAACAAAGAACTGCCCCGTAGGGTTTCCAAGGCTGTGATCTTTATAGAAACAGACTGCCACATTTTTCTCCCACAGAGGGTGAATTTGAATCATTGACATTTTGATTCACAATCAAGCACTTAACCACTGTGCCACCAGGGCTCCTATAAGCAAAATACCAATTGCATGATACAGCCTAAATGAGATCTGGAGAATATGTAAGGATATATATTAATACTAATGTATCAAATACGTTTTTCCCATTGATTCCCCATAAATATATTCTCCAGACCTCATCTAAGCTAATCATATAATCGATTATTTAATTCTCATAACCACCCTAGGAAACATTTAGACTCTGTATCAGTTGTTGTTGTTAAGTGCCATCTAGTCGATCCTGACCCATAGCAACCCTGTATAGGGTTTCCGAGGAGCAGCTGGTGAGCTTGAACCGTCGACCTTACAGTTCAAATGGCTTTGCAGACTGGCACATTAACCCACAGTGCCACACCAGGATAGCTATCACAAACATAGCATAACAAATTACCACTGACTGATTGAGTTTAAGCCAGGCATCAGCAAACTTTTATTAAAGGGCCAGGTAGCAAATATATTAGGCTTATCCTGATATGGCGCTGTGGAATAAAGCGCTGGACCTCAAGGTCTATTTGAACCACAAGGCCGCCAGTTCAAACTCACCAGCCGCTCCTTAGAAACCCTATAAAGGGTTGTTATGAATCAGAACCAACTCAATGGCACTTAACAACAATAACAATATGACCCATATAGGCTCTATTACAGTTTCTCAGCTTTGCCATTATAGCATGAAAGCAGTCATAGACAATACATAAATGAATGAGTGTGATTTGTGTTCCAATAAAACTTTATTTACAATAATAGGTGGTTCGCTAGCAGGTTGTAGTGTGTAAAGCCCTGCTTTAAACCATACACTTTTTTTTTTATTGTCCAGGTCAGCTGTGTAATTGGTCTGCTCTCAGCTCAGTCTGCTTCTGTGATCAGGAAGAGGCAGGTCTGCAGCCCTGAGGATCCTGGTTGGGCTCTCATACGTGGAAGGTTTCTGCTGGTTTAGGATGTTTGACTTGGGATAATCGGACTGTTCCTTGTGTTCTCACATCCTTCACCGGGCTAGCCCGGACATGTTCACAGGATGGCTGCAGGATTCCAAGAAAGAGTAGAAGCTCAGAAGGTTTCTTGAGGCTGGAAAATGGCACACTGTCCCTTTGGCTGCATTCTGTTGACCAAAGCAAGTCACAAGGTCAGCCCCTGCTTAAAGAAGGGTGGAGCTACAGTGTCCCATGG